TATGAATGAGAATACTTTTTAAAAATTGAGTATCCCAGTCTTTCTGCTGGGGTGTTGTATCCCTTTCAGCCTGGGTTGGCCTTGGCATGTAGCGCCGGGGCCAGCCTCTTATGAATTAATGATTTAAATTGTGTTGTTGGGGGCATAGAAACACTTTCATTCAAATTTTTTAAAAGGGAAACAACTTAACTGTGAAAACTTAGGTCCACTGCAGCACCATATCGGTTCTTACACTTAAATACAACACAGGTGCAAGGCATTTTTACTAATTGACTTGCCTAATCTGAAGGACCTCGGAATAAAACCTTCTTTCTTATCTAGATTTCAGTGCCTTAATCGGGCAATCGCGCAGCACAGGTAGCCCACGGTTCCGCCGCGAGAGAGGGCTCCTATCAGGCGTGCGGTGCCGCCCACAGAGCATCCTCCATTACTTTAAATCTCCTTGGCTAAGGGTGTCTTTTCAGTGACCTGGGGCCAGTCACGTGACTTTCGCCCTGAACAATAATGTTGGTATTGTTCCAGTCAGCGGTTCTCCCTGGTCTTCTGTCTGCTGTCAAGCAATCGTTGTATCAGATCTATCTGTCTGCGTTTTGTGGATGTTTCAACTTACTCTTTCGCCACCTCAGAATTACAAAGTTCTATCTGTCATTTTGGCCGTTTTGAGTCACTAAGACCATGAGGTCAGCAACTAAATTTTAATGTTCTATCTGCTCTATCAAACTCGTAAGAACATTAATCGAACATCGTTGTTAAGATTATATTTAAAGAATTGCATTCGAAAAAGCTTGACGTGCCGTATTGTAAAACTAAAAAAAAAAAATTGACGCTAAATTTCTCAAAACTAGGTGGACTACTGAGTGGATAGAACTTTGTAATTCTGAGGTAACGGTTTGTTGCGGGTTCTATTTGTAACGCATCACATAGTGGGTCTACATACTACAGACTACATGATGAGATATGGTTTGTTCTGAAATCAATTACTATTCTACCCCGAGGAAACTCACATGAACAAAAAGTAAGGCTCCCCCTGCTCTAGCGTTTACCATTCACAAACGTTAACGTTCAAATTCTCAAAAGTACATAAAATCCAGATAGAACCTTTTAATCGCAAACGGCGAAGAGCCAGGCCGGTTCACACAGGTGAAGGGTCAGCGAGGGGGGGTATGGGAGGGCGTAACTCTCGCCACCAGGACCCTCCCAGTGCTGTGCGAGTTGTGATGCATCTTTAACGTCCACGAGTGACACCAATATTCACATTATTTCAGAATTTCAGCAGAAGAACAATGTTCCCGCGTGCTTAAGAATGTTTGATGACTGGTCTTCGTAGCTATATAAACAGATCGACGTTACTCTTCACTCCTTACCCCACTATAGTTTTTCACGACTCTAGATCTATATGTCACGTTTGTGCTAATACAATATATAGCAAAAAATAATCAGAATAGATAATATATTTGAAAGGGGGAAAAAAACACCACCTTTCTTTGGGAATACAAAGGTGCGTTTTTAGATCCTTCAACCATTCTGACTTGCAAAGTTACAAAACCAGGTCGTGATTCGAACGTACGTGAAAACAACCAAATTGAGTCCCGCGCACTCAAATTATGACCTTTTAATGCAGTTTTGAGCGTCGGAAAACTTTAACCAAATTGAAACCAACTGTAAAGCCACACTGTGAGTACCGTCTGCAAGAGTTGGGAGACAGAAAACTGCCAGGTTACAGCTTTGCGCGCGTGTGTAGGAGTTGTTGGTTGTTCACGAAGGTACCGTGTTGTTCCTAGATCTATCCGCGTGCAGTTGCTGAGATATACAACAGAGAGCATGCCGCCATTCTTTCAACAAAGCCGACATCTCCTCCGTGCGGTCAACATCCGATATCTGTCCGTGTTTGTTGTGGTCGTATCCTGGTCTGTGTCGGACGCTTGGTTCTCGGGTCACTTTGGCTTCCGCCCCGGACTGATGGGGTTTGAGGAGCCCAGTGATGATTTGTGGGACGATCACCGTGCAGCGTTCGACGACTTTGAGATGGGGCCGGGAGGGGGGATCTGGGGAGACTGGTTGGGAGGAGGAGGAGGAAGAGGAGGAGGAAACTTGTTAGGAGGGGGAGGAGGAGGGGGAGGAAGCTGGTTCGGAAGAGGAAGAGGAGGCTGGTTCGGAGAAGAAGATCAAGGAGAGGAAGATGGTGGATGGAAAAAGTGGATGGCTAAGAGAATGAAGACAGATGAACTGGACTCGGATGACAGATATTTCGGCATGGGCAGATTTAGAACTCACGGCAGTGTTGAGCCGTCAGGTTTAGGCCGAGGGTTTGGTTTGAGCAGCGGAGGAGGAGGAGAAGAAAGAGAAGACGACGGAAGGATAGGCTGGAGGGCTTCTAGAGGAATGGAGACAGATGAACTGGACTCGGATGACGGAGATTTCGGCCTGGGTAGATCTAGTCGGACTCGCGGCAGTGTGGGACAGTTAGGGTCAGGCCGGGGGTTTGGTTTGAGCAACAGTT